TTTATTAAAAAATGCCATCTATTTTCAATGGCATTATTTACTTAAAATTAAATTTTCTGTTTTGAAGTAATTGTATAGTCCATGTAGTTGTGAGAAATAATACAGAGAGATCCCATGTACCCTTTATCCAGTTTCCTCAAGTGGTAATGTCTTGCAGAACTATAGTACCATATCACAACTAGGATTTCAACAGTGATACAATCGAGATACAGAAAAATTCCATCACACGAAGAGCCTTCTTGTTGCCCTTTTATAGCCACATCTACTCCCCTCACCCTGACCCTATCTCTGACCCCTGGTCACCACTGATCTGTTCTTTATTTCTATAATTTTGTCATTTCAAGTACAGATGCTCTTCAACTTATGATGGGGTTATGGCCCAGTAAACACATTACAAGTCAAAAATGCATCTAATACCCTGATAAACCTATTGTAAAGTTGAAAAATTATAAGTTGAATCATTACATGTCAGGGATTGTCTGAATTCTATACACATGGAATCATACAGTTTGTACCATTTGGGGACTGGATTTGTTTTCATCCAGAAAAATTCCATGGAGATACATCCACCCTGTGATGTTTAGCATTAGTTTGTTCTTTTTTTTTATAACTGAGTAGTGACGTTGCTTCTTCCTGGGCCCCTCTACGGGGCACGCTGTATGTAGTACGTGTGAGTGCGTATGTGCTTGTGAGAGTGAAGGATAATTTCAGGGTTGTCCAGGCTCTTAGTCACTATTCTAGTCATATAAAGTGTCTGGGGTGGAGAGCACAGGTGGATGAGCAAGGGGAACAGAGGGTGGGTGAGACATGGGACAAACAGATTCCCAGCTCAGTCCCCACAGCCACGGGTGCTAAGGAGCCATGAACATATTCTGGGGTTACAGATTGACTCTGTTCCCCTGGGACCTGCAGAGGGCTCAGACCGGCAGGCCTAGTCCCATCTTAGCTGAGGGCAGGGGGCCTGGCTTACCAAAGACCACAAGAAGCTGTGGAATTGGTGGCAAGGGCAAAGTGTATCTTGTCCCCTTGTTGTAATCATTTGTTGAATCTTCTAATTACATTGTCCATTTACATACCCCTGAGCCAGCCAGTTTCCCTGGCATGGCCCCATCTGAAGCTTCTGCAGTCATATGCCCACTACAGGTGGTGAGTTACACACCGAGGTAAGTGTCTCGACCAGGTTCACACAGTCCTGAAGCAGGGCCAGCCAGAGGAGGGGGGTCCTCTGGTCCTTTAGCTTTTGGTTGTCTCCACAGGACCTAGAGTGGGAACAGGAGCTCTTCCCCAAGCAGGTAGGGATCAGAGCCAATGCAGTGACAGGATGGCTTGAGTCATCTGAACACCTGGCTTCCTGGAGAGGGCACTTGGTCAGGAGTTGGGAACTGGGGCTCTAGCCCTGGCATAGAACTGACACATTGAATTCTTGACATATACTTCATTGAGTGGAGGGGTAAATGGATGGGGTGTTGTGTGTATAGATGGATGGGTGGAGTGATGATGAATGATACGTGGATGGATGAAGAATAGATGAGTGGATGGGTGGGTGGATGGCAGTGTGGGTGGATGCGTGGGTGGATGGGTGAGTGGGTAGGTGGATGGGTGGGTGGGTGGATGACAGTGGATGGGAGGCTGGATGGGTGGATGGGTAGATGATAGGATGGATGGACAATGAATGAATAGATGCACGGATGGCTGAATGATGACAGATGTAGATAATGAATGAATGGAGGATGCGTAGACATACCTACAGGGACTGGAAAAAAGGAATGTCAGTATGGACAGGGGTTAGGAAGAAATGGGAGTGTAAAAGCCCCCTGAGTCAAGTGACTAATGTCACCAAAAGATACGCAGGCCCAGATAAGTGGTTTGTCCCAGTTCATGGAGTCAGGAGGCAGAGCTGGGACTCAAACCCGCTCTGTCTCAGTCCACACCCAGGCTTCCTCCCACCGCAGCACAACCCCAGAGAGGCGGGTCTGACCAGGGCTCAGGTGACCCAGCAGACCTGACAGTGGTGCCGCAGACAGAGGGGCAGTTTGAGCCCTCCAGGCGGATGTGGCGGGTCTGGGAGTCAGGGGTCTGGGGCTGGGGTCTCCACCCATGGCTGCCACTGACTGCCCTGCAGCCATGGGCGGGTCACTCCTGGTAGCAAACACATATTGAGCACCAACTGTGTTTGGTGCTAGACGTTAGGGATTCAGAGTTGGAGAAGGCGCTGCGGCCGCTGACATTAGGGGACTGACGGCTCCCTGGGCTTCCTGGACTGTGCAATGGGCAGGACATTAGAACGGACACATCTGAAGGACTCCCGGCTTCCTCTGCCTCACCCCGCCACTCTGCGCTGCACAGGCTGGCCATCGGCAGGTGTCTGTTGGCATCGTTGTGGTGGGGGCTGAGAGTACCGTGAAGGCCATGTGGACACTGCTGCCACCAGGGGCTGTCTCAGCTCTGCACCCAGGACGTCACCAGGCTGGGCCCGGGAGCCCGGGAGCCTGGGAAATGTTTAACTTTGAAAAATGGACCTTCACAGCTCATTAGGCCTCAGCCGCACAGCCCGGCGCCTTGGGCAGCGTGGGGAAGAGGGAGATGCCAGGGCATGAAGTCGCTGAGGTATTTAAAGGCCGATTCTGCATTCCTGGCCTGCAGCATCTACCCTCCAAGGCCAGCACCGGCTCTGGGCTGGGCCAGCACAGTGGGGTGGCTGGAAGGGACTCCTGTCGTCCCCTGGGTGTTGTGGCCCTCCCAGCATGTGCCGCTTCCTGGCTCCGTGACATCGGACAAGTTGCTCTTTGACTCTGGGCCTCGGTTTCTCCACTTGCACCATGGTCTGTGTGCCCAGTGGCACTCCATGTGTGGAAGTGGAAGCTGGTACCAACCGCCTGGGGGCGGCTGTAGCCTCCCCAGGGTGTAGGAGCCTTGCAGGGATTGAGGCAGGAGGACCACCGGCCCCCACCGGCCCCCACCTGCCTCCACCGGCCCCCACCTGTTCCCACGTTTCCATGACACCCCAGCCCCCAGGGCTGGTCACTGAGGCCTGGACAGCTCTCTAGGGCCTGGATAGGCTGGGCTTCCAGAGGGTTCCATCAGCACCATTAGTGGCTGCAGGGATAGGCTGGGCCGCTGTGTTGGGCCTGGGCTGGGGGCCACTCCCCTGGCCCTCCATGTGCACTCATGTCCCTCCGGGTGGTGCTCACCTTCCCAAGTGGGGCAGGACAGGGAGTGGGGCCGGAGCCCGGAGGGGGGCACCTCCAGTGGGGGTGAGTCCACGTGGAGCTGGGGAGGAGGCTGCCAAGAGCGAGTGAGCGAGCTAATCACAGTGCAGGCCCTGCGGCCGCTCTAAGCATGGAAATCGCATCCCATTAGCTTGTGCTCTTCCTCGCATGCAGTAGGTGCAGAGTCACAAACCGGAAGCGCAGGGCCCGACCTGCCCGCCAGGCTGCAGCTGCCGGGCTGGGGGGTGCAGGGGTGGGGCTGGGCCTGGAGTGTTCTGGGGGGCCCCCTCCCCTCGGCCCTGGCCAGCTCTGGAACTGTCCAAGGGCTCTATGACCCTGGCCAAGTTCCCTGCCTTCCCTGAGCTCTGTTTCCTTAACTGGAGCTGGGGGAGCTTCCCTGACTCCTGGCTCGCCTAGCCGTGGGCTCGGAGGAGACAGCGTGGGCCGGGGGCCCGTGGGCGGCAGTGGTGATGGGGAGCGGCCTCCGCTGCAGTCGGCTCTGCCTGCAGCTGGTCTGGCTGTTACTCTCTCGGTTTTGTCATGTGGTGGGTGTGGTCAGTCTCTCCCTGCTGACAGATTCCGCCCCTTGCTAACCTCCCTTGGGGGGTGTAGGCCCCCCGGAAACAACTGCCCAGCGCCGGCCCTTGGAGCCAGGAGCTGGGCTCCCCCTCTCATCCTAGTGCTCCATCAGGTTGGTGGGGGGTGGGGCTGTGCGGCTCCCCTGGAGTCCAGCCGACCTGGTGCAGGGAAAAAAGTGATGGGGCAGGGGTGCCACTAGGGCGGGATCGGAGGGTGCCCATTTCCGAGAGCCTGACAGGTGTGTTCCCATATGGTGACATGGGCTTGGACCGCCTGGTGTGCCCTGGGGCAGGCGTGTGTTCCAGGTGGTGTGTGCATGTGTGCAGTGGGGGTGGGGCCTGCTTCCTGGTGTGAGGACACACACAGCTGCGTGTGCAAAGGTACATGTGTGGGCACAGACTCTGCACCAGTGTGTGCACACTTCTGGCGGTGTCCAGGCCCCATGTGAACACATAGAGATGACACATGTGTGCGTGTCCTCTGCATATGTACACAGACAGCCATGTGCTCATCTCCATGGCAACCCCAGTGGTGTGTCCTGGCTAGGCACAGGGGAGACCCCCAATGGTGCTGATGGGGAGCACTTTTGTGTGTTGGCTTCTCCAGGGTGGCTGGGCCCTAGGGCCCCTGGGCAGAGGTGAAAGTCCTTCCTCCTCCCCAGCCAGTGCCACCAAGCCCCTGCGAGCCCAGCTAGGTGGGAAATGTCTCGGAAGCCCCCATCTGGCTGTGACTTACGCGGGTGGAGCAGCACACCCCTGTCTGACCTGGGCACGTGCCAACGCTTAGAGTTGAACAGCCCTCGGGGTGACAGACTCAGCAGGGAGCCCTCAGACTGTGGTCTTGATCCCACTTTCTGGAATGGGAAACTGAGGCAGCAACTCAAGCCGAGGGCCTGCCAGCCAGGGCAGACCCAGGCCCTGGCTCTTCCACCCTGCTGCCTCCACCTGGAAGAAGGAAGGAGGGCTCCAGGGCCTGGGCTCAGTGCTCCTGCCTGTGCAGGGCTGAGGGAAGTGCCATTGCCTTGAAACCACGCCTGCCGCCCTGCCAGTGGCTCCCTGCTCCCGTTGCCATCTGGCTAAGTCCCAAAGACCTTTGCTGCAAGACCTGGGCGGGCCAGCCCCCCCCATCCGCCCCTGAAGTCATCTGCGCAGTTGGCAGGGTTCCCATGGCAACGGCAGTGACGTCACAAAGGGCTGGAGGAGGAGGCTGGAGGGAGGAGTGGGGTGAGGCCCGAGGAGGGGATTCCTGGCTTCTCCCAGCCCTTCTAGAAAGATAAAGCTCTGGTCCATCCGTTGCCCAGTAGGCGTGAGCTTGTGACGCTAGAAGCAGGTCCCAAGTGTTCCCTCTGCTGCGCTGAGATAGGAAACCAGCCCCTTGAAGGGGCAGCTCCCCCGGTGCCCAGACACCGCCTGCCCTTGCAGGGCCAGGACGAGAGGCCTGAGGCTCCGACACCAGGGCGGCACCCTCACCACGCCGGCCCGCACGCCGCTCCTTGCCACCCTTAGACTGGCTCGGAGCCAGTCTAAGGCTTTGTGCCCGGTGGAGGGCACCCTGAAGCAAAGCCCCTCGGCCCAGGCCTGGTGAATCCGCCCAGAGCAGTGTCCGAGCAGTGTCCCCCCAACCCCGCGACCCCTGCTTCCAGCTGTGCGGCTTTGACGTAACTGGCTCCCGTGCATTCATTCATACCCAGTGAGTCTTGTTGGGCCTGCTCGGTGACAGGCCCTGGGGTTACAAGACAAAGTCCGTGCCCTCCTGGAGTGTGCACATATTAAATGCCTATTGTGTGCCAAGCCCTGTGCTGGTTTAGGTGCCTCGGCACAGCGGTGAATGGGACAGACAGGATTCCTGCCCATGGCCATTGGCTCTGGCTCTCGTCACAGAACATCACACGTCTGGGGCTTACGCAATGTGTTTATTTTCTCACGGTTCTGGAGGCTGGAGGCCGGGGATCAGGCTGCCAGCAGGACTGGCTCCTGGAGGGCCTGCTTCCTGGTTTGCAGATGGCCTCCACCTCCCCGTGTCCCCACAGGGCAGAGGGAGACAGAGACAGAGAGACAGAGAGACAGCGCCAGTGTGAGCACTGGCTCGTGCAAGCCCTCTGGCACCTCTCCTCTAAGGGCACTGACCCCGCTGTGGGGGCCCCACCCTCACGACCTCATCTGACCTACTCACCTCCCAAAGGCCCCACCTCCTAGTACCTTCACCTGAGGGGTCAGGGCTTCAACCCTGCAGGGCCCCTGTGGAGCTGACAGTCTAGGGGGTGACAGCAAAGTTAGGAGTTGGGAGAATGACAGTATGCCGTGGGGAGATGCACCAGCAGACACCAGGCAGCTCCTTTAGGTGGAGCAGCCTGGGGAGGCTTCTCGGAGGAGGTGACTTGCCCAGGCCAGGTCCTTGTAGGAGCAAGGCAGTGTGCTTGGGATACACTTGGGACAATCAGTGTCTGCCAAATGTGCACTGTTCCCTGTGTGATTTCAGACTCTTTTCAAAGGTGGCCTCGACCTCCCACCCAGACCCCCCCCAGGAGCACGCCTCTGCTTCACCTGTGTCAGCGTTGCTGGCTGGTGACCACGTTAGGGTATCGCTCAGCAAATTCACCTGCACAGACGTCTCCCAAGCTGGGAACAGGGCCTCCTCCCGCCAGACACCACGGCTGGCCCTGGGGTGACAGGCGTGGATTGTGGGTGAGCAATTCCGCCCCCCGGTCCTCCCCTGGAGAAGGGTGCGAAGCAGCCCCTGGGGTGAGCGAGGATAAGTGGAAGTGCGCCTGGAACATAGTAAGTGCGCCACAAACACCGCTTTGTCCACGTCAGGGCTGGGCCCGAGGCCAGCTCCGGGCCGTGCGGGGAGGAGAGGCAGGTGCGGGCGGCGGGTGCCGGGCACGGCTGGCCTGTCCTCTTCCTGACGAGCGTGTCCACGCGTGCCCCCGCGACAGCCACGGTCTCTTCTGGATGCCTCGCCTCTCGCTAGCTGTCTATTTCTTTTTTTTAATGTTGTGCCCACATTTGAACATCTCACCAAATCTCTAGCCAATTAGAGTCCTAGGGAACCTCAGCCTTCATTTCAGGCAAACAAGCAAATTTCAAGCCTCATTTTCACATTTCTAATAAGCACTTATCAAATTTACAGCTCTCGTATACAATTCGTCAGGTTAATGCCTTCTGAATATTCCTGCCTCCCTTTTGTGGCAATTTTCTTCTCCTGCGTGGCACCCTCGGCGCGCTCTGCCTTCGCTCAGCAAATTAGCGCGTCGGGCTCCTGTCACTGAGGAACGACCTGACCCCGCGAGTGGGAAGGGGGGTCCCCGCCCTCGCTGGCACCTGCGCGGGAAGCGCCGCGCCTTCCCAAGTCGAGGCACACTGACTGGCGCTTCTGTGGGGACCCGGCATTTAAAGGTACATAATAGCAGGCTACTTCTCTGCTAATTTCAGAGGCAGTATACACGTGCATATACACGCGAGAAAACTGGGGAAACGCTGGAAGGAGGGGAAATAAACGATGGCTTCATCATCCAAAGGCAACTAACTGTCAACATTTTAGGGTGTCTCCTCCTGGTCTTTTTCTTCTTTTGAGGATCAGAGTCAGTTTCCGGGTTGGTAGCACCCTTAAAACAAACAAAAAACTCAGAGAAAAAATTAAAATATGACTTACACACAGAAAAGGTAGCACATCCGAAGTGCTCAGCTTGGTGAGTTTTTTTTTTTTTTTTTTTTGAGACAGAGTCTCACTTTGTTGTCCAGGCTAGAGTGAGTGCCGTGGCGTCAGCCTAGCTCACAGCAACCTCAAACTCCTGGGCTTGAGTGATCCTTCTGCCTCAGCCTCCTGAGTAGCTGGGACTACAGGCATGCGCCACCATGCCCGGCTAATTTTTTATATATATATCAGTTGGCCAATTAATTTCTTTCTATTTATAGTATAGACGGGGTCTCGCTCTTGCTCAGGCTGGTTTTGAACTCCTGACCTTGAGCAATCCGCCCGCCTCGGCCTCCCAAGAGCTAGGATTACAGGCGTGAGCCACAGCGCCCGGCCAGCTTGGTGAGTTTTTCACGAGGCGTAGCCAGCACTCGATTCAGGAAACAGCAGAACCAGGCCCCGCACCCCGGAGGCCTTCCTGGGGCCATGCCCACCCCATGGGGCACCAGCGTGAGGCGTGTCCCTGTACCCACATGTGCATAATGCACACAGGATGTCCTACGGAGCACACAGGATGTGTCGGCTACCTCTGCACACACGTGAGGACGCAGCCCGGTCTGTGTGCCCCGTCTCCTGTCACGGGGTTTGGGGTGTTTCTGGTTTGGGCGTTCCTGCTTTGGGCCGCCGTGAGTAGCGTTGCTAAGAAGGTCCTGGCATGCGTGTTCTGTGGATGTGTGTTCACGTCTGTCCACCTTGGGAGTGGACTTGTTGGGTCTGAGTTTTCACTGATCTTGAGCAATTTCCAAGTTGCAAAATATTCATTCATGTGATTAAAATGGTGCCTCAATATTCAGCAGCACAGGCATGCATGCTGTCTGTGACTTAGTGACTCTCTTGTGCTCCAGCACTGAGGCTCACTCCGGGTCTTTTCTCTTCTTTGTCAAGTGGCAACGGAAACCTCTGGCCATACATCTTTTCCCTCTGCGATCATTCCTGGGATGGGTCAGGGCAGGCACATCCTCCCTCACCCTGTGCTCTTGTAGACTGTGAGACGTCAGGTACGGTATATAAAGAGAAAGTGCGGATAACGTGTGGACAAGGGAATGCACAACCATCGTGAGGACCTCGTGTGAACGGGTCGTGTGTGACACCATCGAGGTGAAGACACAGAACGTCCCCAGCCCCAGGCTCTTCCCTGACCGTGTGCTCTTCCCTGACCCCACCAGCCAGCATCCCAGACAGAGTATCCTGGGTTTTTCCGTTTCTGAGCATTACATAAGTGTGACCATTGCATGCTTACCCTCTTCTGACCTCATTATTGTGGTCGCCAGTATTTGGGGAGACAGATCCATTTGTTGTGCGTGGTGCTGGTTCATTTTTGGTGGTGAAGGGCGTTCCACTGTAGGATTTCCAGTTTGGGGCTGGATGAACTTTCTCAAATGCCCCGTGTCACACATATATATGGGAGAGTGTCTCTGAGGTTTAGACCCAGGAGAGCAGGGGGAGTCTTAGGTATGTGCAGCTTTGTGTCACACTGTTCCCCAAACTGGTGGGGAAACCAAACTTTGTGCCCCCAGAACAGCAGGTGACAGTCCTGCTGTTCCCCGTCTTCCCCAGCACGACAGAGGATTAGACTTTTGAAGCTTTTCCATCGGGTGGGTGTGGACCGGTGTCTGGTGGAGTTTTAATTTGAATTTCCCTGACCAGTAATGACGTGGAGCATCTTGTGCGGGGTTTCTGGCCACGTGGACACCGTCATTTGTGAAATGCCTTTTCGAGACCTCTGCCCATTTTATTCCTGAGGTGTCTGTATTTTCCTTACTAACTTGGAAGAATTGTTTATACATTCTGAATGAGATAGCACTCTCTCAGAATAGATAGGAGATAGTGATCTTCCAACGTTTTGTGGCTGTGTTTTTATTCTTGTTATAGTATATTTTTAAGACCAGAAATGCTACATTTTTGTGTTGTGATATTTATCAATATATTTTGCATGGGTGGGAGGAAATCCTACCCTACACCTACGTAATCGATGTATTTTTCCATATTATCTTCTCAAATGTATAGCTCTTCTCTTTCCATTTAGGTCTGTAATTAGCCTGGAATTGATCTTATATGTGGTGTGTGGTAGGGATTCAATTTCATTTTTCCCCCAAATATATTCAATTTATTAAAAAGTTATGCCTCCTCTCCTGGTTTTCTCTTTGTTGCACGGAATCATTTATCTAATCTTGTATTAATTGCACACTAGCTCAGTCACCATAGCTTTGTAGTTAACTATCATCATCTGGTAGAGTATGACCCCACTCAGTCTTGTTCTGTTTATTTAGGGATATTCTTGGCCCTTTTCCCTTCCACATACATTTTAGAATCAGCTTGTCCCGTTCCACAAAAACAAAAAGAAACCTACTGGGATTTTCACTGGGATTGCATTGAATCTATAGGTCAACTTGGAGAGTATTGACTTTATGTTATAAATGTTTATTCTCTGGCCATTGCAGATATACAGAAATCCAATCTACATTCACATATGAATTTTATATCTAGCACCCTACACTCTTATTAATTTTCATGATGTGTACATTCTTTTGTATTTTTATATACACAATCATATCATCTGTGAACAACTGGAGTTTTTGTCGCTTTCTTTCTGAACCTCATAATTTCTATTTCTTTTTCCTGCCTTACTGTGCTGGCTGAGACTTCTAGCACAGTGTTGAATAGAAGTAGTGAGTATCCTTGTTTTGTTCTTAATCACAAAGGAAAAGTTCTAGGTTCACCATTGTGTTGCTTTCTGTAAGTTTTGTACATGTTAAGAGCTTTTGATTTGTGTGGCCAAATGACTTTGCGAAAGGACTGTGCTAGTTTCACTATAACCATACCAACACTGCACTGCACTGTGTTTTAGCTTTAGTGTAGTTTTTCTGTTTTTTTAAGAGCCTGGCTTATTTGATAAGCTCAATAGTGTCTCATTGTATTTTTTAAAATTTGCATATCCCTGATTATGCAAAACATTGAACATTGCCCCACAGATTTCTTAACCACCTGTATTTTTTCTTTTGTGTTCATTTACCCATTTGTTTATATGTTTTTGGTATTTCCATAATCAATTTGAATGAGTTCTTTACATAATGAAGATAATTACCATTTCTCTGTCACATTTGCCACAAATATTTCCCCCTCTATGCGGATAGCTTTTAATTTTTGTTATTTTTTATGTTCCTCTTTCTTATTTTTATTTGGTCAAATCTGCCTCTTTTTTCTTTTACCATTTATTCCATTCCTTCCGAGCATGGAAAGCCTGCCTCCCTCCTGAGGACTGATAAGTATTAAATTCTGTTTTCATCCAGCTTTTTTATGGCTTAATATTTCATATTTAACTGTTTACTCCGTCTGGAATTTGTGGGGCTGTGGGTGTGAGTGAGGAGTTAATTGCTGCACGCAGTTTGCAGTTTACCCAGGAAGGGGCCTTATTTGCACTTCCAAGTCTCTGGGCTCTGCTCCCTCCTGGCTGTGCAGCGCGGGAGATTAAAGGAAGGAGGTGGGGTGCGGAGCCCTAATTACCATAGGGCCAGGCCTCCTTGCTGCCTCAGCCTGAGTGGTAAGTTGGTAAGTCGGTAAATTGAAAGCAAAGAACTCAGCGGAGCTGGGCAGTAGCCTGCGGCATAACCCAGGCAAGCCTCTTACTGCAGTTTCCTCATCTGCAAAGCGGAGGTGCTACAGCACCTGCCCTGGGAGGGCTGGCGCTGGGAGGGTGTGCGCACGGGGGCTGTCCTGTGCAAGCAAGGGCCAGGCAGGCTCAGTACAAATCCCGGCTCTCCTGCGTGACCGTGGGAAAGTGACGTCACTTCTCTGAGCCTCGGTTTCTCCATCTGAAGACAGGGACAGTTGACTCTGTGGTTCCCAGCGTAGCGGTGCCTAACATTTGGGGCTCTCCAACAAGGCTTCATCACTATCATACCATGATCAGTGTCCGGAGAAGGGACCTATACCCACTTCAGAGCTTGGGGGTCTCTGAGTGATGGGCCCCAGGAGTGGGGGCAGAGCAGTGGCTTGGTGCAGGGGGCCACCTCCCCTCCAGGCACTGACAGGGGTTGTAGGGGGTGAGCATGTAGCCCAGTCTCTTGGTTCCCAGAGGAGAGGACCAGCGTTGCCTGAGAACGGTGCAATACACACACATACACAGATACAAACACACAGACCCCCATGTGCACATGGTCACATGTGTGACCAGTGTGGGTCACTGAGTCTGGGCCCCTCCCCCCCCATGAAGCTCCACCCACAGCAGCAGGGGTCAGCTTAGCACCTAATGTGACCTGGGGGTTGGGGAAGATCAGCTCACCTGCCCTTGCCTGAGGGTCCCCTCACCCTGAGAGACACCCCCCAAGTTGGAGGATCTGTCCTCAGTCACCTCCAGGAGGTAGAGTGAGGCCTGGGCACTCGCCCCCACCCTGCCTGGTGCCCAGCACACAGTAGAAGGCAGAGTCTTGAGCACCCTGCCTTACTAAGGGCAAGGCTGTGGGCTGGGCAGGCCCTGCATGAGGGTCAAGTCCTGTCCTCCAGGGCTGCAGGTCAGCTTGGGGCCTGCTGGAGTTCTTGGCTGGAGTGAGGCCAGACCTGCTTGTCCTCGTGGGGATGATGGAGGTGGTGGCACTGGAGTGGGGTGTGAACTGAAGACAGTGGCCAGCTCCCCTGTGGCATAGCCAGTGCAAAGGCCCTGAGGTGGGGACGTGGTAGCTGCAGGAGGGTAAAGCCTGGAGGAGCCAGCGCCTAGCCTGAGCTCGGCAGGTCACATGGGTCACCGATGGCCTGCCTGAGGATGGGCAGGACAGAGGCTGGGGCAGCGGGACCTTGGGCAGGGGCAGGCGGCACAGCTGCAGGGAGGCTGGGCTGCTGGCATCAGCAGGCGCCCCTCCTCCCCACCTCGCTAAACAATCATTGCACAAAATATGCAAATGGTATAATTACTGTTATTTGTTTTGCTGATATAAGTGTTTGAAATGCAAATGTCAAGTTTGGGCGCCTTCATTTTTCCAACCCCTCTCACCCGGACATTTGCAAGTTGATGAGTTGTTCCCCGTCCTGCAGGGAGGAGGGAGGGGACCTGGGGGTGCCGGGAGACTGGGTGACACAGCAGGCTTAGCTTCCTCACTCCTGTGTGGCAGTTGCTGCCACAGCCGCTGAGGGTACCCTTGGAAGCCTGAGGAGCTGCAGGGAGGGGCCCCCCAGTGTGTGCTGGGGGGTGTCTCAGAAGGAGGCCCGCAGTCGGCTTCTCTGTGGCAATTGACTGGGGGTTTGCGCCTCAGTTTCCCATCTCCAAAATTCCTGCACAGCTGTGCTCCCCATCCCTATAATAGGGACTTAGAGTCCCTGGATGATCTTTGGGGGACCTGGGGGACCCCAAATATCATAGACAAAACTGCACGTGTATTTTGCAGGATGGGTCCGTAGCATTGACCCCTCCAGCTCAGGTGGCCTCCGAGGCCCCCAGGCCTGTGGATCCAGACAAGACTGGGCTGAGGCCCTCCAGTAAGGGGGTCTGCTGCTGGGACAGAGGCCCCAGCCCCTTGGGGGTTTCCGGAACTCACTGACAGGTTGATTGGAAGGAGAAAGGCATACACATTTGTTTGACATGTGTACACAGGAGCCTTCCCACAAACACAGGGGAAACTGTCAGTTTTTATGCTCAGATTCAACAAAGTAGGGAAAGCCGTGTAGAAATATGATTGGACAAAAAGGCTGTGATCTATCGCGGACAGACCGAGCGGGGAACCAGCAAGGCCTGTCTGTCTAGACCCTCCTTGGCCTCTCTGAGCTGCGTCCTCCTTCTGGTGTGGGGCAGGGCCCTTGGAACGGGGTCTCATGACCTACAGTCAGACAAGGCAGGTCGGAGAATTTCTTGATGGCCAGTTTTTACATGAATTAATTTTAGGTTTTATGGTGGGCTTTCAGGAAAAGGGCTTCTGGTTTTTATGACCCGTCTTGGGGAAAGGGGTTCTAGTTCCCAAGGCCAGCTCTGGGGGAGAATGGGACAGAGAGGCAGGAGGACGAGAAGTCAGGGGAGAACCTTTGCTTCTGAGACCTTTGTTTTGGTTTTGGGGTACTGTTTTCTGAGCCCCCACATCACTGTCATCCTTATTCTACAGTGGGAGAGACTGAGGCACGCTTGTCAAGGTCTCCTGAGTGGGTGGTCCTGTCTCCTGGCTCCTGTGTGGTGCACCTCCCCAGGCCACGTGGCTGGGCAGGAGGCCTCCCTTCTTCAAGCCACGCCCTCGAAGTCCCACTCCAGCTGCTCCCACCCCAAACCCCCCCAGTCTGCAGGAAATGCAAATCTGGGAGCACCCCCTGCCTTCCCACCGCCCTGGGGCCAGCAGCCCTCATGAACTGGAAAAGCCGTGTAGCCACCTCTAAAGAGCCCAGCCCCAGAGAGGCCACCAACCAGCCTGTCTGGCTCCTGGAGGGTCGGTGAGTGGCCCCAGCACTGCACATCGGCCTCTGCGCCGGCCTTGTGGTCAGATGCTGGACAGGACGTGGGTTTCAGCTCTGGTTGTGCAGGCGGGGGGTGGGGGGTGTCGGGGGCCCCTGCCTGGCTGTGGCTGGGCGGGCCTCCAGGGAGAGCGGTGAGTGTGAGTGTGCATGCGCAGGTGTGTATGTATTCATATGTGCATGTGTGTGTGTGTGTATGCATTGAGAGTGAAAAACTCTGGGCCGGGTGCCCTGACGTGGGCACAGCACCCAGTGCACAGGTGTGGGCACACACAGCGTGCTCCAGAGGTCTCCGGGCCTCTGCTCACACAGGTGTGGTTGTTCCTGGGGCTCCCTGTCACCTTCAGGGAGGCGGGGCAGCTGGGAGCAGCTGACAGTGCATGTCCTCCCCCCACCCCACCCCCTACGTGCTTGCAGGCATGCCACACACACCTGTTTCCTTGTCTGTGATATGGGACTCTGCAGGGCTGGGCTGGGTATACAGCAGGCACTCAAGCCTGCATCCTGCTTCTCCCCTGGAGCTTTGCTCACTGTCGGGGGCTGGTGGACACATGCCCTGTGTCCCAACATCTGTCCTGGGACTACGGGGCCCAGAGAAGGGGCCTGGAGCAAGACCCAGGAAGGGTGGCAGCTCAGGCTGGGCGGGTGGCAGGGCCTGCAGGCCAGGCCTGGGGCAGGGGGATGTGGGTCTGGGCTGCTCAGCCTCAGCCTGGAAGTCTCCTATTTTTGTCTCAATTACCTTTTCCAAGACAGGTTCGGCCTCATTAGCATATGCAAATACAGTCCATTATTATTTCAATTAGCTGTTAAGTAATTAGCTCTAATTGATGAGCGTTCCCCCTACTTCCCCGAGTATTTTTTGGTTATTTACATCCGCTTCTAACCAACAATTTTAGGTAATTACACGCCACTCACTCGTCTATTTGCACACACGCTTCCTCCACCGCAGGTTCCTCCCAACTTGCTGTCCGCCCAGGGAGCCGCGGGGAGGGGGCACAGGCGGGCGGGACCCCTCCTGGCCCCTGCCAGGCCCTCCTGCGGGCCACAGCCTCCAGGGAGAAGAGTGTGGCTGAGCCCACCCCAAGCCCCCAACCTTCCAAGCTCTTTGTTCCCAGAGGCCCCTTGTCCTGGGGACACTGCCCTCTCTGGTCCCTGCACCCCCACCCGTGGCACATCCCAGTTTCCCCTGCATTGGGGGAATGTGAACATGGGGCGGCAGCCTTATGCCTTGGTACCACATCTCAGCTGTGGACCTTAGAGACAACTCACTTCCCAGCCTCAGTTTCTCTATCTGCAAAATGGGGATAAAATGCCTCTCACAGTGAATGCAGTGAGGGTGAAATGAGGTGATGTGTGGGGAGTCCTTAGCACCGGCACTGGAGGCTCAGTGCTTGGCACGGGTGGGAGGAGCAAATAAATGCCCCAACCCTGTGGACAGATGTGGCACCTAAGTGCCGTTACCCGACTGGCCTGAGGCTCTGTGCTCATCACATCAGCCACGGAGCTGGGCGAGGGCCTGAGGCTTCTGTGTCCTGACTTAGTTTCCTCCTGGCCTGGCCTGGCATCTGGCAGCCCCTGCTCCCAAGAAGCAGGTGTCCTGGGGTAAGCAGGTGCCACAGAGTGAGCCTGTTGGGATGGAGCAGGTGTGAATTCGCCCAGGGTCTCTGCTTGGCCAGGCTGGCGTCGGTTGTTTTGTCTGCCTTCATCTCTCGGAGGAACATTGGACACAGTAACTTGAACGTTCCCACCAATCTGTTGGTCCCAGAGCCGCTGGGTGTGGGCCACACCCCCACCCCAAGCACCAGGGCTGCAGCAGAGCGGGGGACCTAGAATGGGCAGCAGTGGCCAGGCGTCCAGCCACTCCCTGTGCACTGAGGTTCAGTGGAGACCTGGCATCCACTGCAGCTCCTCCCACCCTGCGCCTCACTGGCAGGTGCCTCTGTGTGTCAGCCCAGCACGCATCAGGGAGTCCCTGGCCTCCCTGTTTTATTATTGAAGTGTGACGTGCAGTCAGGTGTGCCCATGACCACTGCCCAATGCCTGTGGCAGATGGAGTCTCCTGGTGGCAGAGACGGCTGCAGGCTCTGTGGCTTCATCCCTCTCACCCCGCTCCCCTCTCTGGCTCTGCAGGAGCAGTGGCCTTGGCGTGCACGTGTCCCACAGTCGAGGAGGAGATGTCCATGAGCTCCGCAGGGAAGAATCCACCAGCTCGAACTTCTCAGGTGTGCCGGGCCGTCAGCGGGCACTGACGCACAGGTAAGGGATATTCTTGCTGTTTGTACACTGGGCGAGGGGGGTGGGGTTAATTCCTAACTACCTGGGAGGCAGGTGTGCTGGCGTCACGGCACAGGCCTGGAAGGAGATGGGGTCAGATCGAGACGCCCCACAGCGATAATCCCTTAGAGACTGACTCCTGTTGGGAGGTTCCGCTCAGATGGATAGAATGCACGAAGGCCGGAGAAGCTGCCTCAGGGTTGGACAAGAGGTGCTTGGGGATGTTGGGGGACCCTGAAATGGTCTAAGAAGGTGGTGGCCATACTCAGGGCCTATGCCCCCTGACCCCAACCCTGAGGGTTAAAAGAGACTTTATCTTCTGCCACTTGTGTGAATCTATGTGGTACAGTGTGTTTGAGTGTAAAACCACTATATGCGTAACGTGGCATAGGTTATATGGGTTAATACTGACTTACATTATATATTTGAAACAGGTTCTTATATGGAAAAATATACACAAATTGGTGAATTGAATGCCTAGGTGATGTGTGTGTGTTGGGGGGTGAGGTCTTTATCCCAGTGGCACACCAGATGTTTCAGTGACCCGTTGTGCTGTGTCTGTTGGAAGTTTCACTCTGCAGCTGGAAGGTAGCTGGACAAGTTCTTTTTCTATAGTACATTTTAGAAATGGCAGATATCCCTCTTTTGTCAACTGTATGTTGGATTTTTGTAGGTTGTAGGTACTTCACCCAGTTCTGGGACTCAGACTTAGCAGTTTTCAAACTCAGCTAACAATGCAGGTCCTGGTGTGGTTTGTCTCATAGAGCTGGGTTGTAATATCTCACCTGACCAGTAGGAGGTGCTCTTGTTAAATGACACAGTACATTGAGAAGTGGTTTTAGGCTTTGGGTTTTCTCAATGCAATGCTTGCCTGCTGCATTCAGGCATTAACTTATTCTGCATACTGAGTTTATTTAATGTGAGCAGATATGCATGCTTGGCCAATCCTAAATGACTGCCAGAGGGAGGCACTTGGGGATTCGTTGGGCTCCATCCTTTATCACTTTGGGGAACAGAGACTCATTCTAGAACTCCCAAGGTGTGTACCTTCTTCTGCGGGTGGTCAGACGCCTCCCCAGATGTCTCTGCGGCTCTGGAGTGAGATGTCTCGGGAAGACAGGTGGACCAGGATCTGAGGGAGTCCCAGAGGGCCTTGTGTCTGGGTTCTGTCCTGCACCCTCGCCCCACCTGTGGCAGTTGTTTAAAGGCCTCCCCAGGGCTGGGAAGTGTGGGGTCTGCGAGCAGCGCTGGCCCTGCCTACGCCTGGAACCGTCTGCCAGCTGAGAGGCCCTCAGGGTCACCTGTTGCCATTGCCTCATGTTGTTACAGGTGGGAGACTGAGGCCCAGAGGGGCTAATGCAGGAGTCCTGAGAAATATCTGGGGACAGGTCTCCTCTGACTCCTAGTGCCACATTTGTGCCGCCATGTCCTTCTGTCTCCCACGAAGGCCAGGAGGCAGTTGGGTCTCAAGGGCAGGCTGCTCCTGCCCCGCCCCCGGCCCGCAGACACTGCATAAAGTGTGCTGAGTGAGAGGATGGGTGCTTCCCAGCCCGGGAAGGCAGGTGGCCCCGGCTCCCGAGCGGTTACACGGAACCTTCTTCAGGAACTTGGGGGTTGGATGCATTGTTTCCAAGGTCCTTCCAGTGACATTTTGTCACTCTGTGAGTTGAAATTTGTCAGCTTCTATTCCTGCCCCTCCTCCACTTCCTGGTGCTGCAGCCTGGTCCTAGAAGTGGCTCCTCCTGAGCCCAGAGGGGAGGCTTCTGAGTGCTCTGGTGGCCCCGAGGCACCTTCGCCAGACCTGGTGTCCAGCACCGGGGACAGAGCCATTGCGAGCCACACCGTGGTCTGGTGACCACGGGGGGGGGGGGAGGGGGGAGGCATATTTAAGAGAGGGATATGGGGGTGCACGGAGGTAGAGCCCACCCTCTCCCGAGACTCTTCCCCTCAGAAGGCCTTGGCTTCCTTCTCCGAGGAGTGGGCAGGTGCGGGGACATCCCAGCAACATGCCCCAGGCCACCCAGCCAGGCCCACCCCCTGCATGGCAGCATGCCTGCCCCTCCCCCACACTCCAGGAGCAGTTATTTATCTGCCAGAGGGTGACAGGCGGCTGTGGCTGGCGTGTTGAGCCGCTGTCCAGAGATCAGCTGGCGGCTGCAGAGCAAACAGCCCGAGCTAATCAGCAAAAGGTCATGCCAGCTCCCGGAGCCCACGTTGGAAGTCTTGCCTTGCACGGCGGGCTGGAAGGGACTGGGACTTTGAGTTAGTGGCTTGGTGACCAGGACAGCTTCAAAGCCTTGCCCACAGCTAATTGCCCAGCGCATGACTCCGAGGCTTTGCCTCTGAGAGTTCCCAGCCCCAGGGGAATCCACTCCCGGCCTCCAGGCTGAGCAGACCCCTGGCCGCAGAGACTCAGCCCGGCTTGCTGCGGGGGTGGCCCTGCCCCGCTGCCCCAGCCCAGGGCACCCTGTCCTCGTGGCAGAAGCACAGGGCTGGTCAGCAGCCTCCTGGTCCCCCCACTAGAGCCTCCCTTCACCGACGCCTACAGCCCTTCTGACTGTATTCTTACTGCTTTTCTCTAAATCAATTCACTTTTTAAAAACTTAAATACGTTTATTTTAAAGGGAAGCTTTATAGCACTACTACAAATGGAAAACAAGCCTCCCTTGCCATAAATAGAATTCATAATCATAAAAATAAATTCAGTGGAAACAAAACAATGTTATTAAATTCTAGTTGGACGCTGTAGCCCCAGGGGAGGCTCAGAGCCCACAGGCTGCCGTTGCTTTATTAGAAAGGGAGAACAGTAAGTGTACGGAGGTGTTCAGGACTTATCAACCCTGCTCTGAGACTTTCTTTTCGATGTAATCAGAAGCATTGGAAATAATTAAATTGAAAGTAACTTTCTAATAAAACGGTTCAGTATTATTTTATGCTGTGTGAGCCAGGATCGAATCTGGCTGCATAAGACAGAAACTCGACCACTGCGTGGTTGAACCCTATGTAGGGTTTTTCATGTGAAGAGGGCAGCCATGGGGCAGGTGCAAGGCCCAAGGACTCTGTCAGTGATCTGGGTTCCGCATTGGGTCCTCCTCTGCCATTGCTGCCATTGGTCCTCATGGTCTTAAGATGGCTGCTGCACTTCCAGCCATTGTATCTGCATCTCAGGCAGGAAAGCAGGTGGAGGAGGGGTGAAGCAGAAAGGAATAGCCAGCCAAGTCTGTTCCTTGTTATCAGGAGGTAACAGATGGCACCTGAGCCCGTTCTCCAGTCTGCTCTGGTCTCCTGCTGCCTCTGGGCTGGTGCTTCCTAAATAGTTCATCCATTGGCTGCATGGTTGTTTGATGCCACTGATTGCCAGGCAGCAGACTCTTGCCCTCGCAGTGTTCACAGGTCACATGCTGGAGTTTGAGAACTGAGCGATGGCTCCATCCCAGGGCATCCTCCAAGGGCCCCTCCCTCCCCACCCTCAGTCCTCCCCGTCCTCCTGCCCACAGGTACCCGGCCCCAGGGCAGCCCCGGTCCCATTTCCACCCACGCACGCCCAGGGCTGCCTGAGCCCCTGTGGGAGTGTCCAGGTTCCAGTCCCAGCTTGGCCTGTATGGAGCTGTCCCCTCCCGGCCATGCGGATGCGCAGAGAGCAGCACCTTCCCTGCCCGGCGCCCTCCCAGGTCCTGGGCCTCTGCCCCTCACAGAGCCCCTCCCTCCCTCCCTGGGCGCAGCCTCCTCCGGGGGTTTGGCTGCCTCCAGCCACAGGCAGCAGGGCCCCAGCTTCTGCTTCCAGATCTTCATGGCTTTTCATTTCCTTGTGTGCTTCGAATCCTGCTATTCCCAGGACTTAATCAGCCGGCGAGGGGCCGGCCGCGGTGCCTCCCTGCTGGGCCGGCCCGAGATCCCTCTCCTGCTGGCCAGGGCTCCTGGCGCTTCCTCTCCCCGACCTGCCCATCTCTGCTGCACACTTTGTCTTTCAGCCCGAGCTCTGGCCTCTGAACTCTGGCTTCTGACCCTCTCCTCGGCACCCAGGGTGAGGGACGCGTCCAGGCCCAGGCTTAACGGTGGGTCCTGTTGCTCCCCAGCTGTGCACTCAGAGGCCAGTCACTTAACCTCTCTGAGCGCCCCATCAGGGGCGGGGTGAGGGTCCCTGATTGAATGAGTGGGGAGCACAGGAGTCCTCCTGGCCGAGCCTCTGCCTGTCCTCCCCCCACCTTCCTCTCTGCGCCCCTGCTGCCCAGCAGCACCCCTGGCTGTGGGCCGTCCCCGGGTCTCCCCGCTGCCGGCCTGGGCTGGGTGGTGCAGGCCCCTTGTGGAGTGTGCTGCGAGGCGCAGGCCCCGGTGGCTCACACCCGGGCCCGGGGCACCACCCTCCAGGCCAGCCTCTGCTGAGGTGACCGGCCGGACGATGGCTGAAGCCCTTCTGGGGCCTGCACGTGCCTGGCGAGCCCTCTGGGCACACGCAGCCGAGTCTCACCCTGACCCCTTCTTCCTCCTCTGCTGCCTGTGGGTGTGCGGCTGTGTGTGCACACGGGTTTGCGTGCCCCAGGCTGGCCCAGCGACATGCCCGCACATGTGTGTAGTAGCAGGCACCCCCCGTGTGCATGGATGTCCACGTCCTGCACACACAGGCGTGTGCATCCCTGTGCATGGGCGTCCCGGGATGGCCCCGGGGGCCCCTGCGCGCAGCTGCCTTTCCCTCCCCCCACGCTCAGCCCGTGACTCACAGCCAGCGCCGAGCCTCGTCCCCCAGCCCCGCCCGGTGAACTGTGAATCCAGCAGCCAAAGTGGGTCAGGGAGCGTGCGGGGGAGCGGGAGGGCCCGCGAGGGCAGGCCGGTGCCAGGGCCTGGCTTGATGGCAGCCGTGGGGGCGAGGGCAGAGGAGCGGCTCCAGGGAGGAGAGCAGGATTTGGGGCGCCGGAGAGCAGGCACAGGCGGGGGGCCCAGGAGCCAGAGGGAGAGTCGCAGACTGGGTGGCTGTTTTTCCATAG